GGGGGGATGGCCTTTTCTATATATATAACAGAAGAAGTGGAGATAATTACTTGGGGATTTGTTTTAATCCGTTGAATCACGTGACCGGTATTGCCCTCCGATTTTAATTCGTGGATTTCGATCTCTACTCTAGAATGCTGGGTAGTGTTTATGAAAAATCTTTGATCCAGGGGCATGAGATGATTCAGATGGGAATAATTTGGATTGTAAATAATATCTTATCGATGATTTAATTTAATGGGCTAAGGATCAAATTCGATAATTGACTAGTCTTTTGTTACTGACCGAGAATGAATTAGGATTTCGACTTCATAAACTTACGACGAACCATCCTTAGATCCAGAAATTTTGTGTTTAACAGATGGGGAAGTTGTATAATTGTATCATAGGATTGAGTCACACGTGTTTTTCCATAGATCAGTGGGGTGTGAACTTGAGAGCATGGTTACATAAAGAAATTGTGGAAGGAAATGTCGGAAAAAGTTCTAGCTGTGCCTTTGTTTGTGGTCTTGTTTATTTGTCATCTAAAATGAAGTTAGCTCGAGGTTAGAAAATAAAAAATGTTGTGGATCTTTCAATGGTTGGTGGTTTGCAATTGGTAAAGGATAATTTGAGCGTAGATTTTTTACCTGATCGATTTATTTGTGAAATTTTTTTATTTGATCAGCCACGGAATTTCGAACTGAAATATTTGTATCAGAACTTTTCTTGATTTTCTTGGTTGCTTGGTTGTTTTTTGCAGTGTTTCTTTTGATACAGTTGTAGTTTTTTGAACGAAAAAGAGACTTGATGGAAGGTTGATTGCATTGCACATTGGATGCAGATTGCTGATTGTAATGTTCTTGAAAATTTGAAATATTTACTTAAACTTGATTTTTTCTTGCCTTTAAATCCCATTGTTTGTTCATCCTTTTGAGAAAGTCTGGGGGTTGTTTCTGTTAGCTGGAGCAAATTCATTCTCTCCCAGAGTGTGGTTTGACACAGTGATGCGTCTGTTCCAATTATTAACAAAGCTAAATGGTACCTGGAGAGTACTCTAAAATGATGCCGCAAGCGGTTTATAATGTTGAACTAGTCAGTTCTACGAAGAGCATAAAACATGAGTTATGGCCTCTAGATGCAATCGATCCAGTCCAAGCAAAGTTCCCATGCTGTTTGGTTTGGACCCCTCTTCCCGTTGTCTCTTGGTTGGCACCCTTCATTGGCCATGTTGGGATTTGCAGGGAGGATGGAGTCATATTGGATTTCGCAGGATCAAATTTTGTGAATACCAATGATTTTGCATTTGGCCCTGTTGCAAGATACCTTCAACTTGACAGAGAAAAAGTAAGTCCATAGTTAGTTTACACAAATATTTGACGAAATTAGATTCCTGTTTCCTGACTAGAATGCAAGCTGATTGAAGTGCATAAATTTCACTTAGCAACTTCAATGAAAATTGTGATGGACCAACCAGGAATATTGTTCACTTAGAGAATGCGCTTTTTACTGCTTCCTCGTTAGCTGTCTCCCTTGGGTGCAATGCCATATTGTTTCAAAGATGCCCATCATGTTCTCTCCTACACTATTTATTTTCTTTGTAAACCGTGTAAAAGTTACCAATGGATCCCTAACAGTGTATGGAACCTTATTTTTTGTAGTGTTGCTTCCCAACAAGCTTAGCTGCGCATAAATGTAAGCAGGGCTACCAGCATTCACAATTTGGAACAGCCATTACCTGGGATGATGGCCTACAATCAAGTAAGCGCTATCTCGAGCATAAATCCTACAACCTTTTCACATGTAACTGCCATTCCTTTGTCGCGAATTGTCTGAACCGCGCATGTTACGATGGATCGATGAGTTGGAACATGATAAATGTAGCAGCTCTAATTCTGTGGAAAGGGCATTGGGTTGATGGCATGTCAATTGTAAGATCATTCCTTCCCTTTGTACTGGTGGTCTGCATGGGCATTGCCATGGTTGGGTGGCCCTTCTTGATTGGTCTGTCTTTGCTTTCTCTCCTGTTGGTTGGTTGGTTTATTATGGGTACTTACTGTATAAAAAGCTTGTTGGAATGCTAGATTTGGTGGATCATAGGATGTTCAGAATGGCTCGCCCCATTCTTGCTTGCAAGTTTGATAGAATGTTTGTTCATATTTTTCAACGTTGTACTTAAAGCAACATTGTTCATATAATGAATGGAAACATACTATGTTGATGAATTCGTGAAATTTTAGCTGTAAGATCTGTTCCAACGGAAATAAAATTAATTTAGAAGTCCAAAATCTGGTCTTATCCCAAAAAAAAAAAAAGAAAAAAAAAAGTTTGTCAATTTAATATTTTTGCAATAACTCGACCATCTTATCCAACAAATATGTGGCAAATTGTGTAAGACAAAGATTTAAGAATGATCCCTTGGAGCCATTGGGCACCGTAATCAGCCGACTCGGCCTCGTAAATTCCCCTATCCGATTCCATACTTCGAGCATCCAAGTTATCAATACCGAGTCAGTCGAATTCACCGTCTCACGAATTTGTGTAGTTGACCGTTTACTTGTTTTCAATTGTGGCCATAATCGTGCGCTCTCGGCCCTTCTCTGGCCCCATTTTCTGCTGTTCCACTTTCTTCACTCGAATCATGTCGTCGAACGATGCGGAAACTGTTCGAAGGGATCGGATTCTCTCCAGCAAGCTGTATTTTGACGTTCCTTCTTCAAAGGTACTGGAGGAAATATTGGTTAATCCCCGTTCTCGTATAAGCTGATTCCAGGTTTCGCCTGTACCCATCTGTATTTTCTGGATTTTGGTGAAAACAGGTTCCGGTGATATATTCTTCATCGTACAACATCTCATTTCTTGGAATAGAAAAGTTGTAAGTGACTGGTGATCAATTGTTTTGTAATTTTTTTTTGTTCTGATTGTTTTAAATTCATTGAAGATGATGTTTGATTGATAGATATCTTTTGCTTGTTCTTCTGTTTTCTGCTTTGCTTATGGTTCTCTATCATGCGTAGTGAATTGGGTGCTGTTGAACATGCCGGGAATGCCTTAATTTTCAATTCCTCTAATAAACCCATTTTAGTAATTTACGTCATTTGATTTTAGTTGCCTTCCTTGAAATCTCTTCTTTTCTTTTTTCTTTTTTCTCTTTTTTTTAGCTGGTAAGTTTTTACTGGGAAATCCTGTCTGTAGGCATCCATTTGATTCGAAGAAATGGGGTCGCGTATGCCAATTCCTTGTTGCCGCTGGAGTAATAAGGAAAGATCAAATCATCGAGCCTTTGGAAGCTAAAATGAACGATCTTCTTGTGGTACGTTTCCAAATTCCTTCTTTGCAATGAGTAGTTTGAAACGTTAGCGCTGCCTTCCTCTCTCTCTCTCTCTTTTTCCATGAATTCTCAAATTATAAATCACTAACCAGTGTTGTTATTACTTATTCATTGAAGAAGTCTATCTTGGTAATTATTATTCACGTAGGAAGATTAAACTAACTCATTCACGAACTTTAGAAATTCAACAATGAAGCATATTCTCACTGGTAATATTTGATCAGGTACATACTGAATCGTACCTGAATAGTTTGAAGAACAGTTTAAACGTTGCCAAGATTATTGAGGTATTGTATCGTATCATATCTTCTTGCTCTGTGAGTTTCTCTTGTTGCCCTTGTGTGATATTTTGGATTTGTTAAATGTCATTGGCTGTGATGTAGTGAGTCATTCATTTCTTCTTGGAAGTGGGATTTTCGTCGTATGGTATGGGTCGTAGACGTATGTTCTTAGACTTTAAGACAAAGTTGCCTTTTTGTAAGAGATTGTATATGCGTTGAGTTGAATTAGTTTTCCTTTCTCAGATTCTAGTTGTAGTCGTGCAATTTAGACTGATCTGAAATTCTCAATGTAGGTCCCTCCTGTTGCGTTGTTTCCTCATTGTATTGTCAAGGAGAAAGTTGAACGTCCATTTCGTAACCAGGTGAATTTTTGGAACTCTTTTCCTCTACCCTTTTCCATGTTAAACTTAAAATGGGTTGTAATTGTTGTATGCTGCTGCAGGTTGGAGGGAGTATATTAGCTGCAAAAGTAGCAAAGGGGAGAGGATGGGCTATCAATGTAGGAGGTGGTTTTCACCATTGTTCAGCAGAACAAGGAGGGGGATTTTGTATGTATGCAGATATTACTCTGTGTATACACTACGCCTTTGTTCAGCTAAATATATCAAGGTAAACTGCACCATGATGACCTAAAGGAACTCGTATAGTGTTGAGTTTTGTGCATAGCAATTACTAGTAATAATTAACCCTTATCCTTGTGATACGTGACGATTGCAGTGTAATGATTATTGATCTTGATGCCCATCAAGGAAATGGCCATGAAAAGGATTTTTCCCATGATAGTATGGCAATTTATTTTCCAGCAATAGCTTTTAATTTGCTCTCTTTTTAAATGCTAATGGTTTTTTCTGTACTTGCAGGCCGAGTATATATTCTTGATATGTTCAATCCAGAAATATATCCATTTGTAAGTTACACTGTTTTGTGTTTGCCCTCGTGTTAGTTCTTTTTAGTGCTGTTAAGGCAACTCAATTTTCTATTTCCATCTCATTTCCAAATTCTCTATTACCATTTTACTCGAGCATAAAAGTTTTGGTTGACTCTCTCTCTCTCTCTGTGTATGTGTGTACATGTCAGGATTACGAGGCTAGGCGATGCATTAATCAGAAAGTTGAAGTCGTTGTAAGTAATGCATGTTATGGAAATAGGCGTTGTTTGTTTCTCTTCTTGCCTGCATGTTTCATGGGTACAATTTCTCATGTAGAGTGGGACCACAACAAGTGAATACTTGAAGAAATTGGAAGAAGCACTTGAGGTAGCTTTTCTTCAATTCATTTTTTAAAATTTAATTAGATTTTACTCATTGTGTCAAAATATTGAATCTTCTGTTTTAGCCTTTATTTTTAGGCTTTCAAGTTTCATGCAATTGAATCATCTCCTAGCACTCTTCATCTGGGTCTATAACACTTGGTGTTGGTGAATGTGCTACTTAATTTGTTGTCAAGTGGTTGCTAATTTTCATCATGTTAATGTTAGGTTGCTTCCACTTCCTATGATCCAGAATTAATTGTTTACAATGCTGGGACTGATATTCTAGATGGAGATCCTCTGGGTTTGTTGAAGGTAACTGTGCCCCACAAGTTTATTCTGCAAGAAGTTGGTTCTTCTTTCTTGATCATTGATCCTAGTAAAAAAAAATTAGCCGGTTGTCTTGTTGACTTATATACACTAATTTGCAGATTAGTGCTGATGGAATAGCTAGGAGAGATGAGAAGGTTTTCAGATTTGCTCGTGCGAGGAGAATTCCCATTGTAATGCTAACATCAGGTCCTTTTCCCTTGCGTGAACTTGTCACGAATTTACATAATTATGACAAGTTTTCAGATTATCTCCTTGAACAGCTCTTTACATCTTTCTCATTTTCATTCGTCTTCTATTCTTCTATTGCAAGTTATGTTTGTCCCTCAACAATAAAGTAAATTTTTTATATCATTTTGTGCATTACCTACATCGTAATTTGTGAGATTTAAATGACTAAGAGTATGGGTATTGGATATAACATTTATTGTCTGAGATTATTTTCTTCTCAACGATGGAATATTTCTTGGTAGTATGAAACATTTACCTTGATAATGAGAAAATTGTTCTCAAAGAAGATGAGTTCTTGTCAATAGGAAAAAGTCTTGGTAAATCTGTAAAGATTAGAAATTGTCCTCGGAACCTTATGATTGGAATTAGAAAACATTGTGGTATAATACGAAATTGCTGAAATAATGGAGCTTACTTTCGCCATTTCGTATCATTTTTTGATGGATCGACTTTTATCTTATTTGAGAAAACATCTCATTTTCTCTACTTCTAACTTAAAATCGATTTTTTATTCCTATCAAAATTTTGACATTTTATCTTGTTGCTCATTTTCTCTATTTTTCTTTCTTATTTGATGAGGACATGCATGAGATGTCTTTTTTCCTTCATATCTAAAGATCCCAATTGTGCAGCACTTTTCTCATATGTATTTAATAAGATATTTATTCTATCCTCAAGGAAAAACTTAAAAGAATAAGAGAACTCTGGGGTTTGCCTAATGTGTGGTATAGATATAATGTTGTTGGTGTAAAATAAATAAAATATAGAAAAAGATGCCTAGCAATGACAAACTAGATTACTGTGCTAATGCAGATGAAATGTATGTGCTGACGCTTTTTTTTGTTTAACTTCATTGTAGCTTCTTGAGGTAATGTTTATTGACAGACGATTTTTAATTTCCATTTTTCAGGCGGTTACATGAAATCTAGTGCTAAAGTCATTGCTGATTCAATCGAAAATCTCTCGAAGCAAAATTTAATCGATACAGGAAGCACTCCAGGCAGAATGTAGTCATCAAGTGAGCTATTTTGTTTCCTGTTTTATTTAGCATCATGAACCATTTGGCATGGCTTTTCTGTGATCTCATGTCTTGTATGAAAATGTACAAAGTTGGAGCAGAACTTTGTTCGGTACTATATGCATGTCCTCCCATGTCGGAGACGCATTAGATTAGCTTATACTTTGGTAATTACTCAGGAATGATTGTAAGTACAAGAGCAAAAACAAACCTGACTGTTCAAGAATCCAATAACTGCTGCACTGTTCTTTTTAGCTCTCTTTGACCCGACATTGGGGAAAATATAAGTCGATATTAAAGTCTGCCTTTGTAGAACTCTTGACCATCTGAGGTCATTGATCGAACCCATGGAAATTGAATAATCAAATCGTTATAATGTAATATTGAACCTAACCATTAAACCTTAGTGCCCAAAAAGGTTCGTATAAATAATAAAGAGTTTAGGGAGAATGGGTTCAAGCTATTGTTGTCACTTGGACAAGATTTAATATCCTTCACCGTGAGAATAGTCAAAGTACGTGTAAGTTGGTCCGTGAACCTTAGTTTTATGATTTTCTTTTAATACTATCATGTACACTTCTAGTGAGCACTCAAGTTTTTTGGATGTGAGTGAACTTGTTCTAAGTTCTCTGAGTGTCTGGATATAAATATCATCCTGGCATCTGAGTGTCTGGATATAAACTTTGTTAAATTGATGAACATCTAAATTCTATTATCTGTATTTTTATGACTACTAGTTGGTACCTAGATAGAAGCTTTTAGTTTCTAGCCACCCTGAGTGGGTCTTGTGGGGCAACGGCTTGTAAATAAAATAAATGGACTAAGAAAATGAGTTCAAACTTAGCATTGAGATTTTATGAATCTTCTTACCTGCAAGACCAGACTCGAGATAGGAAACAAGGGTTTTGACAGTCTTATAGGATGAGTCAAGATGGAAAAAATGTATTAGCGGTGAGGGCTAGATATCCTTTTGAGAAGTAGGTAACGAAATTCAAGGAAATCAGTGTGTTAGAGCTGGAAACAGGTTAGGCTGGGGTGGAATCCAGGGCAGTGCGACACGAAGTCCTGGTAGGATGAGTGGCATTGAGTTTGATTGGAGGCAGAGAAGACAGTCATTATAAGCCCCTTCACTTTAGACCTTCCCTCCCATGCCTCTTCTGAACTCCCACCAACTCAATCTCTTTTCCTCACTCTTTGGTTTCCTCCAGAATTGTAAAACTTAAGAGGAGAATGAGATATGTTAGAATAAGAAACAAAGCTTTGGTCAAAGTAAACAGGCTTCGGAGCCTGTGTTTCAGAGAAACAGAAGAAAGGAGGCTGAACCAGAAATTTCTGGATTGCAGAGCATGTTTAAGGCTGTCACACACCACTCTTTCTTATCTTCTTTTTCTTTTTCTCAAGCTCTGCATTGATACAACTAACCAAGTACTGGATGAGGATGACCCCTTATCACTACGCTTTATCATATCAAACACCCAACTTTATTAATACCCTCTCACTATTAACCCATTTTACACCCTAGATTTTATTGATATTCTTTCTATCCTTCTCTTTTCTTTTTTCTTTTTTCAGGTTAAAGTGTGAGAAATCCCGCAAAGAGGAGGTAAGATCACGCAGGAGTTTGTTATACATTTCACATGATCCACGAATCTCCACCTTTTTTGCCTTTCCAACGTTTGCCACTGCCACATTTACATTTTAGCCCTCTCTCTCTCTCTCTCTCTTATGCATTATGCAATTTGAGTCTGAAAAGTCTGAATCCACACAGCTGTATAGGTTTATAGAGTATATTTTTATCTGCAAGTGTTTGAGCTTCTGTTAGGGATGAGTAACATTGATGAATTTAGGCTATATTTCATAGTTCCAGACTATATACAAAATCTTACCTTTTTATCCAAATGCCCTCTGGGCATTGAAAAATGGGAACTTTTATGAGGTTTAGAATTTATAATCTGCCGAAAGTGTGACCTTTTTTTTTATCCCCCACAGGACAGGTAGCTGTTGCAGCAAAATGGAATGAACTGTATATGAGTATTTGATAGATAAATAACAGTGTCGGTCAAAGCCCACTAATGAGTTTTTGTGTTGTAGCTGCTGCTACCTCAAAGATTTAAACGTTTATTAAACACAAAATTGAATGTTCGGGTATTTTTTTTTTTTTTCCAAAAGTTGAATAACTTTTTAGATACTAAATTACGATTTAACCCTTTTGTATAATTAGAATAATTGGAAATCCCAAGGGCATGGATGTCAAAAAGAAAACTTGGGTTGAGAGCCCATCATATATATTTATATAAAGAGAGATGAATCCATTTTCCTTGAGCTTTGTCTCAAATTGCAGTCTCTTCCTTACAGAAAGAGAAGACTATATAATAGAGAAATACATGTAAACTTCATATGGTTTGTAATGGCAATGGAGAAAACGTCGCCGTTGCAGGGCTTAGAGGCAGAGGAATTTCAAGAACTTGAACCTCTCATTCAAAGTTACCACAAATTTGAGGCTTCTCCCAACACAACCACTTCCCTTATTACCCAACGCATCGACGCTCCTCTCCACGCCGTGTGGCCCTTCGTTCGGAGCTTCGATAATCCTCAGAAGTACAAACACTTCGTCAAAAGCTGCAATATGTCAGGTCACCATTCAACTCGAAAACTTAAATTTTTATATATTATTGCTTACAAATTTTTTAAAATTAGATTGGGTTTAGTATATTAAATTATTCAAGGGGATTTTTTAAGGGTTTATTTATAATATTTGAACTTTTTGATAAATTTAAAAAATTTCACTATTGGGCCATTTTTAAATGGGTATCATCTATCTTTGTTAAACAGCTGGCGACGGCGGGGTCGGCAGTATCAGAGAGGTGACGGTGGTCTCCGGCCTGCCGGCGTCCACCAGCACGGAGAGGCTAGAGATTTTGGACGAGGAGAAGCATATTTTGAGCTTCAGGGTGGTCGGAGGTGAGCACCGGCTGAACAATTACCGATCAGTGACGTCGGTGAACGAGTTCAACAAAGACGGCAAAATTTACACCGTGGTTTTGGAGTCTTACATCGTCGACATACCGGAGGGGAACACCGGCGAGGACACCAAAATGTTTGTCGACACTGTCATTAAGTTGAATCTTCAAAAACTTGCTGGGGCTGCCATCGCCTCTCTGCATGGACATGAATAGGGCGGCGGCGACTGCGCCGGGGACCCTGCCGGCGTAGATTAGTGGTAGGTCGGTATGTTTTTTTTTGCAAGTTGAAGGTGATTTTTCGCTTGTTCTAATTTAATTTATTGGATTAGTTGGGAAAAGAGATAATTAATATGATTCTGATTATATATTGGACAAATATTATGTCTTAATTTATGTATTATCAATAAATATTAGATGGAAAACCTTAAAGTAATCGACTTTAATGTCATGGTTTTTACTATGATAATGTGAATTTTGTAGACAATCCTATGATCATAATTTTCATTTTAATGGTTTATTGTTTTTCCTTGTTTTTTTATTTATTTTATATTGGAAATGATTTAAATAAAATGCTGTATTAATTAATTAACTTAAATTAAAAGCGAAATAAATTAAAGTAAATGTAGTTGGGATAAATTTATATAAAAAAAATTATGATAAATTGATAGATGAATTAAATGTTCCATATGGGCCAAAGCAATGTACTAAAGATGCTTTTCACATGCAATTGAGTGATTTGAACATCATCATAGCTCCATTATTGATTTTTTTTTTTTTTTTTTTTTTTTTTTTTTTTTTTTTTTTTTTTTTTTT